ACCAACCAACCAACCAACCAACCAACCAACCAACCAACCAACCAACCAACCAACCAACCAACCAACCAACCAACCAACCAACCAACCAACCAACCAACCAACCAACCAACCAACCAACCAACCCACCAACCAACCAAGCAACCAAGCAAACTAGCAAGCAACCAACCAACTCACCGACCAACCAACCAACCAGCCTGCCAACGAACCAACCAACCAACCATCCAACCAACCAACCAACCAAGCAAGCAAGCAAGCAAGCAAAGCAAGCAAGCAAGCAAGCAAGCAAGCAAGCAAGCAAGCAAGCAAGCAATCAACCAGTAACCAACCAACCAACGAACCAACCAACCAGCCAACCAACGAACCAACCAAACAAACGAACAAACAAACCAACAAACAAGCCAGCAAACAAGCCAGCAATCAAACAACACATCAGACAACCAGATAAACAAAGAGACCAAACAGCACACGAAACCAACACACAAACACACGCATTTCACCGAAACAAACAAGCAACGACACAGTCAATCAACCAAGCAAGCAAGCAAGCAAGCATACGTACATGTTCCCAAATACATATGTGCCGAACTTAACCCTGCAACGCTGCACTCCGCACTCTAAACCTCAGCCCGCAACCACTAAGCCGTCACATCCCTAAATCTCTGACCCCATATTCAATATCCTAACATTCCAATCGGATTAATTCGTATGTATGTTTGCTTCAAGTTCAGGTGTGTTTGGGGCGCGAAGGCTGAAAATTGTTATTGCTTTCTTCAGAAAGTTTACAAGGCTTCAGGGCTCAGGGACTGCAGTGAGACCAAGTCTCAGGGTATACATGTTTTCTCGGGTTTGGATTCAGGGTTTCAAGCAGGGTTTAGGGGTTTAGAGTCACGATTTAGATTTACGGCTAGGAGGCATAAACTTCACCGTTAGGAATTTCCCGGGCAAATGGGCCGGACAATTATGTCTTTCGCGATGTGCATGTGTTGGGTAATCAAAGCTGTGCAAGGAGCACGAAAGTGTGATTTGAGGAGTAAAGTCTAGGGTTAGACATCCCCGTACAAGATGCTGTTTCGTAGCATAGAAACCCGACGAATTTACGATCATATGCTTTTATGTTCGGCCCCAGGGCTAGATGGGGGTTCATAGGTTTTTTTGAAGGGTCGTGGTTTGATTTAAGTTTGCAACGTAGTTTTGTGATACACTTTCAGCCGACATCGTCATGCACATCTTGCGAATATAAGGTGCCCTGGACAGTGTTTTGTCGTCTATGCGTCGTCAGTGTAGTCCCAATGTATACATGTTACATCAATTTACCAATGCTTTTCGCTTCTGCCTTCCTGCCGACGGATTTGGATCACATGCTAAGTCATGCTTCTGATAGTTGCAAGTTTACAAGCCATTGTTGCTGAACCGCAGCTAGACGTTGACTAGATGACGGATTTGTGGCATTTCGGCATAGGGCTCATGGCCGCAAGACGTTTCATGCACCGTGCAGAGTTGGCATTGTTCCTTCGGCATACACAGGTAGTAGAATATACCCCAAAATTGTGCAACACAAATTTTCCAAGTGCACTTATACGCCAACACGGACCCATTCCAAGCGCCTGAACTCCAAACGCCTATGCGCACGTGGCGGGCCCCTTACGACCACACAAGGCTGTTTATCCAAGTTCACACATGTGTGTAGGTTGTTGGGTTCAACATTAGCCAGGAGGACGTTCTGAAGCAGCTACCGGCCAAGCGGCGGCAAACCATTCTACTGAAAGAGGCCACTTGTGGTCTGAGCTGGCAGGACCAACAGATTCAAAATCCTTGGTTTGACCAAGCTTTAAGGTTTGGTAGACCCTAAACAGCAGGGTTTAGGCATTCTCGGGAAAGACCAGTATCTAGCTATCCACGGCTTTACAAAAGTTTTATAGGGCTCTTTGGCAGTCCTCGTACTAAAGATGTTATTAGGTAGTATTGTTTGGGCTGTATTGGGTCCATATAGTCGACCAATACCATAATTACTTAACTGAGAATAGAATGTTAAAGCGTTTACGCCATTACCATCGCCGGGAGTACAGGCAAACAGTGGGTAAGCATGGGTAAACCCTAAACCTAATATTGTGGCTGACATTCCGCCTCCTATCTCCCACTGCTGCCGCCGAGGCACTTTTCACCTGTAGTATTTGTCTCGGGCGCTGTTGTACACACCTTCTCGTAAGTAATGTAAAATATACCCCCAGGCCCGAGTCTCATGGCTAAGAAGAAAACTTTTCTACTTGTAGAACCCTTAAACCCTATTCCAACGATTGCGGCGCCTGTGACAGTGTTGTCTTAATTTCCAGGAACTGATGGCCTTGGAGGAGCGGTTATTCGGCAATGCCGATGCTCTTCAGCTGCTCTGAGACTTTACGGGCTTTTGAGTTTAGGGTTTAGCTTTGTAAGGTGGGTCTGTGGACGCTTGTCGAATTTCAGATTTGTCATTGAGGTTTGTAAGGCGTGTTACCTATCAAGCTGCTTGTACAAGGGCCTTCAAAGACTACATACACGGTTTGATGAGAAGGGCTTCACAAAAGGTTTTGCTCAGGGTTCCTTCAGGATTGTATATTCGCTTGCCGAAGCCTGAAAAGGTGCTCAGAGTGTAGAGTTTTCTATGGATGGAAATGGATCCATGTGGTTTTGTTCAGGTTTGATCTGTAAGTACGTTTAGTATAGTGAGTTGTGTACAGGGCTAAGACTCATGCACCCTTCTAGTATGTGTATATATATATATAATTCTTGTAGACACACACACACACATATATATATATATACGGATGTCGACTTGCTCTAAGGTCTAAGGTGTTTCCTTCATACTTGTACTAGCTTGGGGGCCAAAATTTGGATGATATACGTACATGAACTATTGAGAGGATGGGTTGTTGATGTTGAGGACGTTCAGGTTTCCATGTCCTTTGGGTTTAGGGTTTAGGGGCCCGCGTTCCCAGGAAAACGAAGAGGACTTCGCCAGGGAGGAGCTCCAACGCGCACTGAAGTTGGTCATGAAGACGAAAATGAGGCTGCTGGGCCCTAAACCCTAAACCCTAGACCCCATAAGCTCTATACAACATAAAAGGTCATCAACCCTACGCGGCGTAAACCCTTTAAGTCGGGAGTCTCGTTGTGGCTCAATGCTTGTAGAGGTGAGCTAGGGCCCTTGGTGTTTATGGAAAGAACTACAGTAGAAGCCAGAAAATTCGAACATCACTATCCTCATGCCCTTAATGTAAAGTATAGGGAATCCCAGCACTCATCATCCTAAATCCACGTTCCCAACTTTCTGGGGTTCACTAGACTACTCATTCTAAGCTGGCTTCCAGGTGGGCCCTATAGATAAGCTGTACACCCATCCCACGACTCTGGTCACGTCGTGCTTAGAACCCAACCCCGCTCCAACAGTGCTTAGGCACAAGGAGCCACACACCAAACCGTCCCAAGATCAGGTTCGGACTTTCGTGGTTCGACTCAGGAAGCTTTTTCGAAACTGAAGATAGTGATGTGACCTTCAACACAACTTGTAGGGCATCTGCAGCATAAGACTCCCGGCTACATCCTTAACCCTAAACCTTAAGCCATCTTAAACCCTAAACCCTACACCCTAAACCCTAAACCTGAAGCCATCTTAAACCCTAAACCTGAAGCCATCTTAAACCCTAAACCCTACACCCTAAACCTTAAACCGTAAGCCATCTTAAACCCTCAACCCTACACCCTAAACCCTAAACCCAAAGCCCTTTAGTCCTGGCTGCACTAGCCTTTCGGGATTTCTGGGCTTCGGAAAAAGGAGTTTTAAAAATAACCTAAGCCTTTTACATACCTGCATCCTCCAAGCCTCGATGTTGGTAGCTGAAACCTGGCCCCCTCGAGCTGGAAGCTTTGGAGGGGAGCGATGCTTGGGCTACTTGGAGGTTCATGGGTGGTTTAGAGTTTAGGATTTAGAGTTTAGGCTTTAGGCTTAGGGTTTAGAATTTAGGGTCTAGGGTTATGAGTGGGGGCATAAGTAAGGTAACTATAGTTATAACCCATATCAGGGGACTTAAAGCCCCACTTATAACTACCCATGAACCACCAAGTAGGGTTTAGGGCTTAGGGATGTTTGGGATTTGGCTTAGGGTTTAGGGTTTAGGGTTCAGGGATGTTTGGGATTTGGTTTAGGGTTTATGGCTTAGGGATGTTTAGGATGTGGTTTAGGGCGAGATTTGGTTTAGGGTTTAGGGCTTAGGGATGTTCGGGATTTGGTTTAGGGTTTAGGGCTTGGGGATGTTCGGGATTTGGTTTAGGGTTTAGGGTTCAGGGATGTTTAGGATTTGGGTTAAGGTTTCAGGGATGTTCAGGATTGTCGCATCAACTCGTACAGGGACCTTAGGCAACTGGGATGGATTGACGAACATCGACTTAGAAAACCTGTTTGAGGAATATCGCCAATTCATAAGAAGGGTCCTTCTATAATTTCAGATGCATGGTTTGCCCTAAGCCCGAAACAAGTAGTGATGGAGTCTGTGCAAGGTGCTGCTGTGACTACGTCAACGATCTCCTAGACAACGGCATCGGCAAGTTCCTGTCCCGTGGACGGGAGTACTATAGGAGCCTAAATACTTGCCTGCACTGTTTTTTTTTTGTTTTTGGGGATCATTTTTATAACTATAGTATAATGTACCCCGAAACCCTATTCTAATCATTAAGGCCACTACATTACGGTTTAGTGCTCAGGGTTTGGAAGATTTATGGTTTGGAAGCTCGGAGAATCTACACCCGAACTAAGACCTCTACCTGGAACCTACATGTTTAGGGCTTCGTACTAAAATTCCCTACACAGGCCGTACGCATGAGGTGTTCTCGCGTCCAGGTAGGGTTTAAGTTCCATGTTTTCGTATACTCGAATATAGCAGGTCTGAATCATTACTTGGTTGAACTTTACAGTCACTTGATAGCTTTATCACTTTTAGGATTAGCTTTTTTGATATTAGGGGTACTAAAAGTTATAATTTTAGCAAGGAAATAAAGAGGCTTAAAGGTTAGAACAGCTTGTTGCACTCCAAATGTTGAATCGGGAGCTCTACAGAATGGTCTGAGCGCCCAGATCTTCCAAAGTGCCTCAATCAAGAAATAGGAGTTTCAGAAATTTAGGGTACCTTATTTTGGGGTCCTTATAATAGGGATCCTATTATTTAGGGTACTATATTAGGGTCCCTATTTTCGGAAACCCCCAAATAGATTTTAACTCATACCCAGAGAGCCCAATTACCCCTTAATTAAGGAATATGGCCTAAATCATAATATGAAGCCCCTTATAGTTTAAGCCATCTTCCTTAATTAAGGGGTATTGGGCTCTCTGGGTACTAGGGATATTACGATCATTCAAGGTATATCCCTTACGTAGGGGATATTGGAAGGGCCAGGGCAATTGGTATAGAAGCCTAGATAATTACCAACATTAGTGTTAGGGCTCCGAAATTATAGTAATTCCATAAAGGAGCCCAAAACCCTATTCTAATTATTAAGGCCCCTGGATTATGCAGGCCACTGTCCTGTACCTTCGAGTGGTGAGGGGCCAGGGTCAGTGCTGCACTCGTTTCACTGTTGGACCCCATCCCCCACTCCAAAGACATCCTAAATCCTAAAAATGCTCGTCGAACGTTTGAAAAAACCCAACCCACCGATGAACCCTCAATCCTATAGACGTTGAAGCGCTAAGCCCCGAACAGATCTTCTGCAAAAGTGCACGTCCGTTCGTTGTAACATAGAAAGGTCGGACTATGTTGTAGACACTTCCTCTTATGGTCTTTATACAAGTTTGTTTTTTATATCCAAAGACGCCCCTAATGTCGTCGAGCAATCCTGTCAACACGTTCTAAACACCAACACGGAGCCCTACTATTCCAATGATCAACCCCCATATTTAAGCCTAAACCCTGAATCCTAAACCCTAATTAAACCCTAAGCCCCTAAGCCCTAAACCCTAAACCCCTAAACCCAAAACCCCTAAACCCGAACAACCTTAAGCCCTAAATCGCAAGCTCTGAAACTAAGGCTCTTTGCGCACCACCGGGCGCAGCTCGCCTTGTTCTGTCTTGTACAGTTGCTGCTGTTCTTCTTATTGTTACTTCAGTTCTATTGTTATTCGCAGTCTGTATGTATGTATGTATGTATGTATGTATGCATGCATGCATGTGTGTAAGTATGTGTGTAAATATGCATGTATGTAGGTATCTATGCATCTATGCATGTATGCATGTATATGTGTGTGTGTATGCATGCTTGTATGTATGTTCGTATTTACTGATTTACTTAGTTAGTCTTGATTGATTCATTTATGTGTGTACGCATGCTTGTACGTGTGTATGTCTGTCTTGGAGGTTCATGGTAGTTATGTGGTCGAAATAGGTCCCCTAATACAGGTTCTTACTACAGTTACCCTACTGATAACCCGAGTTCTAACTACCAATGAACCTCCGAGTAAAGCCCAAGCCCCTAAACCCTAAACCCCTACCCCTAAACCCAAATACTAAACCCCAAAGCCGTAAACCCTGCATAACTACGTACCCATCAACCTCGAAGCAAGACCCAATATAGAGGCCTAAATAATTACCAATATCACTGTTATTGTTCCATATTATAACAAGAAAATAAAGGAGCCCAAAACCCTATTCTAATTATGAAGGCCCCTCGTTAAACCCTACAAAGGCTAAAGGAGCCCGAAATCCTATTCTAACTATGAAGGCCCCTCGTTAAACCCTACAAAGGAGCCCAAAACCGAATTAATTATGAAGGCCCCTCGTTAAACCGTATAAAGGAGCCCAAAACCCTATTCTAAACAAATAAGGCCCCTACCCATAGGCCCCATAGTAGTTCCTTTTTGGGATTACCGAATAGGATCCTAATTATAAGCCACAAAAAGGAACTATGGGGCCTATGTCTAGGACATGTTCATGTGGGTAGTTCCCGTTATGGCAGCCTTATAGAAGGTCTATAGACCTTATAGAAGCCTGATAGAAGCCCTATATACCCTAAACTCCCCACCTGTAGTTTCCTTTCACCTATGTATATAAGGCCCCTAAACCCTAAACCCTAAACCCTAAACCCTAAACCCTAAACCCTAAACCCTAAACCCTAAACCCTATTCTAACTATTAAGGCCCCCTTCCTTAGATCAGGATGATGGATGCGCTCGAGAGCGCCTTGCAGGACCGACTCCGAGGCGCCCCGCTGCATATGGGTTTAGGGTTTAGGGTTTAGGGTTTAGGGTTTGGGGTTTAAGGGTTTAGGGTTTAAGGTTTAGAGTTTAGGGTTTAGGGTTATGAGTGGGGTTATCAGGAAGGTACTAAAGCTATAGCCCATAGTTGGGGACTTAGAACCCCACTTATAACTACCCATGAACCTCCAAGCATGAAGGAGGGTACTCATACATGGTAACCCTAAACCCTAAACCCTAAAGTGTTTGTTCTCTAAGTAAGGGTTTCCTTTTAGGCTCCTTGTTACAAAGGTTGCCGTAATATTTGGCGACCTAGAACAGGGATCCTAATTTATATTGGGGTTTTAAGGTGCTGGGTTTAGGGTTTGCGGCCACGGTTGAGCTACATCTTCGAGTCTAACTTAGTAGCAGAGTTGTTGGGCTGGCATTTAGGATTTTCTCGAGTCTTCTTCAAATATTATGCTGTTTCATTTGTATAACACAGTGGTTCCAAGGGCGTTTGAGGTGCTGGGTTAAAAGGTCCGACCTCTCACCGTTTCAGGTGTAATTCGGGCTTAGGGCTTCAGGGGTTGAGGTTTTGGGTTGTCTAGGACATGTTCATGCAGGTAGTTCCCGTTACGGGAGCCTTATAGAAGGTCTATAGACCTTATAGAAGCCTTATGGAAGCCCTATGTATCCTAAACTCCCCTTCCTTCAAGGTTGTGGAGGGTTATATCTGTGTATTTCTTATAGGGCTTCGTAGGGCTTTTGCAGGACTGTAAATATGTTTCAAAAACGCACCTTAAAACGGAACTACACTGGTGACTGCAGCTTTGTCTGAGAAGTCCAAGACGCTGCGGCCGCTCAAAGGATCAGCGGACTTCGCAAGCAGACTAGAGATAAGGTTATAAGTACGTAGGATATCCTCATGTAGGGTTTAGGGTTTAGGGTTAAGTAGCATAACCGCATGTAGGGTATGTATAACTGTACTTGTATCCTAACCTACTTACTAAGTCCCCTGATCCTTTGAGTAAGCGGAGCAGCACTTCATCTCAGCACATGCGCTCGGTGGCTCCGGACCATATCCAAGAGTTTTGTGAAAGGTGTAACCGAAAGGGCGAAAGCCTTGGTATAAGGCTTACATTAAGGGATGTATATAGGGGCTTGTACAGTGTTCGGGTTTTCCCGAGGATTCGCAGCAGAATCTAGGAGCTGCAGTGGATAGTAGTTCATTTAGGGTACAGGAAACCTCAAACCTTTCGGTGCCTGCAGGAGGATACATCCGGATCGATGGCAGCACCAATCAGAAGGACGGGCCGTCGTCATGGAGCTTAACAATGATTACTGGGAGTTTAAAGCAAGCTTGAAGTGCTCCAAAGGAGCGGCCGGACCTTGTGGAGCAGTTTCAGAACGACAAGGCCTGCAAGAGTTAATTTCCAGAGGTCGGAAGGATTTTTAAGGGTTAGGGTTTAGGGTTCAGGGGTTCAGGGTTTAGGGTTCAGGGGTTTAGGGTGTTCGGGTTCAGGGGTTTGCGGGTTCAGGGGTTGAGGTGATCAGGGATTTATCCGTTCGGCGGTTTAGGCGTTCAGTGGTTCAGGGGTTCGGGGCCTCCAGGGGGCAGGGTGCAAGGATTCAGGGGAAATTCAGGGCTTTAGGGTTCAGGGTTTCCTTCGCTGTCCTTCTATAAAGTTGACTGTCAAGCAACCCTAAACCCCAAACCCCAAACCCTAAACATCCCTAAACCCTGAACCCAAAACCCTAAGCCTTTCAAGCAGCCACTATGCGGACCCGCCTCGGCTGATCTTTTCTGGGTTAGATTGGTGACATCAACTACGTTCCTTGGACAGAGCCCCTTCAGATGCTCCCCAACGCCCTTATACGCCAAGCCCTAAGCTCCAAATCAAGAGCCCCAGACCCTGAGCCTAAAGCCTGACCAAACCCTCAACCCCAAACCCTAA